GGGGAGGAGGAAGAGGTGGTGGGGGAGGAGGAAGAGGTGAGGGGGAGGAGGAAGAGGTGGTGAAAGATTCTCTGCTGGTGGCCCCCGGGGGGGTGGTGGTCGGGGTAGAAAAGGAGGAAAGCAGTCTGGGAAGAATGTGATGGTGGATCTGTATGGGCTGCGGTGTCTTCTCTGCAGAGGAAAGGAGCATGAACCGGTCACTGAGAACCTGGTCCCTGGAGAATCAGTTTACGGAGAGGAGAGACTTCCCACTTCGCAGGGAGATGACAGCATGGAGTCCCAAGCGTGGAACCCCTTCCCCACCAAGCCAGGGCCTAGGTGCTCTCCCTTGAGGCTGCCTCAGGCACCACCATGTCCCTTGATTGTGACATCAGAGACCGGAAGGTCTAGTCTAGGCCTCGAGTTCTCCCATGCTCTGGCCATGCCTCATCAACTTGACCGAGAAGCTGACCAACATCCCTCCTGTGTGGGGGCGTGCTTGGCACCCACACAGGTACCCCGTGCTCACGGCCATGGTGGATGTGACTGTTGCTGACATGGCCCTGCCCGGCCAAACCCAGATTGTGGCCCTGCATGCCCACCCCTTCCTGCCGACTGGAGGACACTGTGGTTTCCACTGAGGCCAATTGCATGGAGTCCACAGCCCAGCAGGGGCCGAGTTTGAGTGTGATGTGAAAAGGGGGCAGCCAGAGAACACGAAGCCCGGAGCAGCTGGCCCCGGAGCCACACCAAAGAACCACCCCGAGGTCCTGGGAGTGGAGAGCCCGCGCCCCGAGGTGAGGAGCTGAAGTTCAGCACATCCTGGATTGCGGCCAAGCGTGTCAATGGTGTTGCAAGGGGGTTTTTCTTTTTAATTTTTAAGGGTGTTTGTGGGAGGGGCTGGATTGAGAGATTCACAAAGAGGGGTTTTCTATAAAAAAGACTCATCGGTCACAAAAATGTCTTCCAGGCCAGGCACAGTGGTTCATGCCTGGAATCCCAGCTCTTTGGGAGGCTGAGGTGGGAGGATCGCTTGAGGCCAGGAGTTCAGGGCCTCAACTTATAAACAATTTCCATTGTTTGTAGATTACTCAATACAAGCTATTTTGTTCCAGCAGCGGGAACAGACCAAGACAGGACCCATTTGCACCACGTTTCACTCTTGTTCAAGATATGTTTGCTAGTAGTATTTATTTATTTATTGAGATGGAGTCTGGCTCTGTCGCCCAGGCTGGAGTGCAGTGGTGTGATTTCAGCTCACTGCGACTTCGGCCTCCCAAGTTCAATGGATTCTCCTGCCTCAGCCTCCTGAATAACTAGGATTACAGGCATGCACTACCACACCCAGCTAATTTTTTTGTATTTTTAGTAGAGACAGGGTTTTACCATGTTGTCCAGGCTGGTCTCAAGCTCCTGACCTCAGGTGATCCACCCTCCTTGGCCTCCCAAAGTGCTGGGATTACAGGAATAAACCACCATGCCCAGCCTGGTATTTTATTTAGAATGTGTGCATCTATCATAAGTGGTATTGGTCTCGTGTGGGTATGCCTGCAGCCAGGTATCTGCCAGATGTGCTGGTGCCGGGCTTGTTTTGACATCAAGAAATGAGCCGGAAAGCCTTCTTTCGTTTTCTGTGTGCTGGTGTGGTTGTCAAGTGTGAACTATTCGTAATAACGACTTAAACTGGCCTCACTGAGCGTGTGCAAAGACAGCTCATCAAAGGAACAATTAGAACTACTGCTTAGGGGTAGTATTTTGCACGGATGGACAGATCATTTTGCTTCCAGATGTTTGCCAAGCAAAACAGATTGTGTCTCTGCCTTCCCCTCTGTCGTAGAGGGTCCGCGCCACTGGCCTCATCGCTGGCTTGTGGGAATTTTGCAGGATCCTGCAGCGTGTGTCCATGCCATCCCTCCTGAGCTGTCTCCTTCAGCAGCACAGCCTGGAAGGTGGAGGAGAATGCAGGGTGGATAGAGAAGGGCCTCAATTCAGTTCCTTCGAATTGCTTCATTTGCCAGGACTGAGGGAAGTGAGCAAGGCTGTGATTGAAAGACAGTCGCATCTGTGTGTTTGAAGGCCTGGGTTGTATTGTGGAAGTGCAGAGTTTCAGTGTTGGCTTTAAAAATAATGTTCACAGTGGCTCTTAAAAAAAAAAAAAAAAAAAAAAAAAGGAGGTTATAAGAGGCAAGGAGATTAGACTCTGAATCTAGTTTTCTTCATCTTTGCAGAAAAGAAGGTTTTATATGAAAGGTTTTATCACCAGCAGGTTGACGGGCTACTGCAGTCACCAGCTCCATTTAGAACGGCGCTGGAAAGTAACAAAAACCTCTTCCTAGTTTAGAGTTGCATCTGTGCCCGCCGGATGGCCTAGACATCGTGAACTGCGGGGTGACGGGAATAAATGGAGAAAGGAATCAGAACCCCAGGGGACTTGTGACAGCCCCTCTCTTTTCAGCTAGAGCCTGACAATCTATACTTTAGCATATAACACGACAAATGTATATAAGAGAAAATGAGGAAGTGTAATTCCATGCAATAAACACTGAACACTGTTCATTTCAGTATATGGACATGGACTTTTTCTTTCTTTTTTTTTTTTTTTTTTTTGAGAAGAGTCTCACTCTGTTGCCCAGACTGGAGTGCAATGGCGCGATCTCGGCTCACCGCAACCTCCG